ATCGGGCACAATTGCTTATTCAATTTGTTGCATAATGGAAAAAGCTTCCAACTGCCAAATGCTGTGTATAGATTTTTGTTAAAGCAATTTCGTTGTCATGCAATCTGCATCTAGCCCCAGCTAATTTTCGCCCTTGTTCGTTCTATTTCTACAAACCACGACTAACTGCCCTTTCAAAATCAGCAAAACAGAACAAAAAACCATTGGAAATCAGCATCACCGGGAATACAAATCAAATTCGGTCAACTCTGTGGCACCTGAATTGATGAATCAACCATTAAAAACCGGCTAAAAAGGAGGTTGCGGATTAGATAATGCTCAGTGGGCAATGGCTGTTGGCTGACCTAGCCCACAATCCGCTGTCCAAAGTCCGTAGTCCGTTGTCCGTAGTCCGCAAACTGCCAAAGTTTGATTGCATTTTGAGGTTAGCGGCTAACTGGAGCGACTGTACTGTAATTTCCGATCTGGGCAATGGGATTGGGAATGGGAATGGCCATTGGGTCTCAATTATGGCCACTGGCCACTGGGCACTGGGCAATGGGCGATTCATTTGGCCCCGCCACGTAATGTCCATTTAAACAAAGAAAGGCGAAATGGGGAGGGCTGCAAATATTCGCAAATAAAGTGGCGATTGGATATTACAGCTTTCCGGTCACTGCATTTCTGCAAAGTTCACAAAACTACAACACTCGGTACACAACTGAACCACCCACACACACACCCACACACAAAGCAACCCATTGAACCACTCACCCACTCGATAAAGTGCCACCCGCTCAACTTCTGCTCCCGTGAGCAGAACAATTTCCAATGTGCGCTCAACTGTGGTGGCAACGAAAGGAGCCTGAATACGTCGTTCACAAGTGCCAACTGCAGGACTCTGCTCGTATTCGTGTGTATATGTGGCACTGTGGAGCTACAGGACTACAGGACCATGGCACTACTGGACTACGGGACTAGGGGACTACGGAACCATGGAAGTACGACTACGGACCGGAAACCGGAAGTTGGCTTCGCTTTGCACTGGGCCGAAAAACAAGAAGAAGACGTGTTCGTTTGGCAACATGTGTAGTATTTAAAACTCAGCCGGCCTTGGTCAGCGGCCACAAATGAATATATTTGTTTTACGGTTCCACTTCGCCATCTTCTTGTCGATTCACCCGTTCAATACCCTGCCAAAGAGCTGGTATAAATTATTGGGTAATGGAAAAGGATTGCCAAGCTACCCGATTGGATAAATCAGTGGCTAAATTGCATTTTATAGCTTTCGATTTTGAAGTACAAACTAAGTGCGAGCTGCATCTGAAATGTATTTTATTATTTTTGGAGCTGTTACGTATAGAGTATTTCCCGATTCGTTTCTTGCTTTACTGGGTGCCCTTTGGTTTTTCGTGTGATTTTCATTGCATTTGGCCAAACAATTTATGTGGCCCAAAGGGGTGGTCGTTGTCACTTGGCCAGAGGTTGAGCCTGGACAGGGATGTGGATGCGGATGAGGATGTGCCTGTGGATGGTGCACTCCTGATCTCCAGCCACCCTTGACTCGCTGGCAAGTCAAAGTTGTCTGCCGGCACGCATCGCATCGCATCGCATCGCGTCTGGTTTGAGTGCTGCGACATTGAAATTTATAGAGCTCCAGCCGCCTGTTTTGGTTTTGGCCATGGTGTGGGTCTGCTCCTGGCGTTGGTGGCAGGTGGTGCGCATTTCAAGTGCTGCACAGATACGTTTACAACGCACCACTCATCCGCAGCTTTAGTGTCTGCGCTTTAAAATACAGAAAACAGCAAACAGCAACGGCTAAAAAAACATAGAAACACATCGAAACATACCGAAAAATATTTAATTAAAATTTATGTGCAACCCCAAAAGCAAGTCGGCGCGCAACCCCCCCTCGGAAATCCCCGCAAAGTGACGGCTGCAGTCGAGGGAACGCTTTTGACGATGACACCCTTCAGCGACCTCCCTCAATTTCCCTCAATCTCCCTCAATTTCCCTCAATCTCCCGCAACCTGCAGAATCCGCTGGGGTTGAGCACTTGAAACTTTGCTTTTTACCGCTTTGCCCAGCACTTGCAGAAAAGCCATGTGAAAAACTTGTAAAAAATGCGGAAACTGTTCCACGATTGAGACAATATTCATGAATTTCATGCATAAGTTGGCAGCTTAGTTTTTTTTTTTTTTTTAAATATTTTTTTTCCTTTTTTTTTTTTTTTTTTTTTAAGGCGACGAATCCGTACATGCAGTACTAGTACCATAACATTGCAATTAAACATGTAAATAATACAACCAAACCTCTCACTTATCGCGGGAGGACTAACACTTGGTTTAGTGACATTTGCAAATTAAAAGAGAACGTAATTCGTATATACGTACATACTGGTACGGGTTTCTTTGAGTGCAGCTCCTGTCTGCTGCTCCCAAATGTCCCATTGACGAGGCCACGTCGGCCATTTTTAATGGTTCCGCTGCAGAAGGACCCCACAAATTTCGCTTGGGTATTTGCAGGGACTCGTGGAGAGGCGGAAAAAATTAAAAATATTTTGCATACTTGCCGGCGCATATGCCGCAAAATGCTTGGCCGAAGAGCTATTAAAAAGTTTCCAAACATAATGAAGGGAGCCGGCACAAATACGCATACGCATACCCTACTTATACAATAGGGGAGTCCCCTGTTTCTAGGGGTTGGAAAACAACTAAGTGTGTGTGTGTGTGTGTGTGGGCTTGGAGTGTGTAAACACTTCGCGAAGCAATTGCCCGGTCAGGAGGCGGAAAGTTACCTGTAATCGGCCACGCATTAACCAAACAAATCAATTGAGCGTTAAAGGCCAAAAGGCCAACAAGGCAACAGGGGGTTCAGCTTGGGGCTTGGGGCTGGAGTTGGGGCTTGAGCATGGATATGAACGCCTTGTGTTACACCCGTAATTGGTAATTGAAAGTGGCCCTTTCGAACCCCATTCCGATGGGCTAATCAATCATGAGTGATAGGCGCACGGCGGCAGCTTGGAACTGGGAACTTGGATCTGGGCGATGAGCTAACGCCAATCGATTAATCAATCAATCAATCAATCAATCAGTCGAACAGCCAGGCAGATAGCCAGATAGCCAGTCTAACGGATTGCAAAGCAAAGGTCAAAGGTTCCCGGGTTTTGGTGCCAATTAGCGAGGCTCAACATCCGGATTAGGGTCGCGAATTAGCGATGGAGAGTGACAAGGGCACAGAGCGTGGATGAGATTAGCCACTGATATCGACCAAAGTTAACTGTGATGCCAACTTTCCTTTGCTTGCACCTAACTCAATTAGAAATGGGCAGTTCCATAGCGAGGGTAAACAATCAATATTGGTCGGGGTCACCAAAGGCGATGCCAGGTAAATACATTGTACGTTATAGTCATATCTTTGGAAAACTCCCTGGCCACGGATGTCAAAGTGGTGCAACTGGCAACCATTGCATTCAAAACCCATTCATTTATTCAGTGAAAGACTCTGAGGTCACCCAAAGCAATATGGGTAGAATGGCATTGCATATGAAGCAGCATCACCACGAGCGCTTTTGTTACCTGTCGGTGTCATTCTAATAAAAATCAAAGCCAGCTCAAAATGGATGGATGGAGGATAGGGGCCGCAGAACAGAATGTGCCACAAGATGCAAAAGATTTCTGTTTGTGGCAACGCAATCTCCGCAATAAGCCAGCTGAATGGTGGCAAGGACTAAGCAAGAACCAAGAACCCAGGACCCACAACCAAGAGCCCGGCCATCATTTCCTGCGCGGCCAAAATGTGTCACACAAAAGCCAGTTGGCGGAGACAAGGGCAACATGTGGCCAGGACTCGTTGCAGTGGGCCCGGTGCCAAAGTGCCTGCGGTTATGCGGGCAAAATGAGTGGAAATTTCGAATGGAACGGCGGAGGCGACACCGAAAATGGCTGGCTGGCGACAGCAGCAGCAGCAGTGGCAGCCGCAGCCGCAGCCTTGCAACATTTACCTGCAACTCTTGTGCGGAACGAGCGCATTAATGCCGCCTTTAAAATTTATGATATTTACTCAGCCAGACAGCGAGAGCCAATGAGCCCCAACATCCCTTTGCCACTTTCAACGCCGGAAAATCAGTGCAGTGGGTGGGTGCATTTCGCATTTTGCACTTTGCACTTTGCATTTTCACTCTGCAGTTCGCGTTTGCCATGTGGCCCAAAGATCCGTGAGCCGTGGCAATCAGGACGTTGGCCAAGCCAATGAGTTGTGCCTGGGTGCGTCATCGTCTTTTGTGGCTGCTGATTTGCCACTCAACTTTCGCTGCAGCCAATTGTGGTGGCTCTTGAGGGGCGAACAAATTAGTTTTGCGGTTGTAGGTAAATAATAAAGGCATTATAAAGCCTACTTTCGTGCTGGTCAATCAAATTGTGCACTATGAAAACTTTTTTTTTTTTTTTTTTTTTTTTTTTTTTTTTTTTTACGAAATTATTTTGCTTGACTAGCGTACTATTATCCTTCTTGGACAACTTAATGTAATCGGTATTAGCACTATGAAAACGAAAAGGCTTTAGCCATAAATGTGTTTCTCTTGCAGTAGTTGATAACCTCTTTCTTGAGCCATCCCTACATGGGCCACCAAGTGACCCGTGTCAGGATGTTAACACCTCGAGAGCCAGACATTGGGAGCACCAACCGGCCAATTGCCCGGACAAGACGCCATCACCAGGTCCTTCCTCCGCCGCAATTGGCCCTTCAATCGCCCACTCATTGCCCCGGGACATCAGCGACAACATCTGTGCACAAAAGTTGGCCATAGTTGGCCCCATTCATGCCACGGAGCTCCATGAACGACTGGCCCAGTGCTCCAGCCCAGCGTTCAGTTTAAGTTTCCGTTCATTTCACTTCGGTGCACGGCGTTCGCATGTCAGCACCTGGGACGCGACGTTCGCTATCGGTGGAATATTTTATTTATTTTTTTTGTAATTTTCCTAAGTGTTGCCAGTGTTGTGGTGCTGGAAATTATTGGCAACATGTTCTGTCGTCTCTGCTGGATTGATTTTAGTGCCGGCGAGGCAAGGGTGGAGTGCGCGGGTCCCTGTGGAAGTTGCTTCCACCGCAATTGTGTCGATGTCACCGGGGATGTGGCGCACATCCTGGCCACCGGCGGGGGTTACTATTCCGGTCTGGAATGGTATTGCCGCACTTGTCGTCAACTTTATCGCCTGCAAGTGTACTTCGAGGTAGCTATAAGTGAAGAACGACCCACTCCAACCCACAGATCTCTCTATTACTCGGATTTGCGGCAGATTCGCGCTTGGCAGCCCGGAAACTTTCCTTTCTGATTGAATTTGTGGCGTGTGTTCCTTTCTCGATGACCTTGTGGCACAAGTTTCCCAAGTCAGCAATTAAATTATGCTTGGCTCTTTGATGCGCCGCGGCATAAGATCGTTATAATAGCACTAACGAAATTAGCTTAAACGCAACTGTACTTGGAAAATTGAGAAGTGGATGTAGATTGTGTGGAAACGCTTAAGTGATTCTATATATTAACGTACCTAGGGAGAGAGAAATCGCAAAGCAGCATGGCTCAAGCCGAAATATCTAATAGCACCCTTCCCGATGTTTTGCCACCTACTGTACTTGCGGCACCAAATGGACTTTTAAGTTGAATCCTGTAAAATGACCAGTATAAGTTTGGCTTAAGGCGGTAATTTGTTACCCACTTAATCCATCTCGATTCGTTTCCATCAGCTGCTAAGCTCTCCGCTTTTCCTATTCTCCCTTCCCAATACGCTATATAATACATGCTTGTATATATAAATGTATTTATGTACAGAAACCCCTTCTCGCTCCATCACTTAACGTTAATTGCAGTACTCAAGACTTTGCCTTGGGTATCAACAGCAAGAAAGCTTTGTACATTTGCATCATCTGGGCTTGAATCTTTAGCAGGTGGAAAATGTGTGGGTGGCGCTATGGGGAAAGTGCTAACAAAAGAACCAGCTGGAAAAGCATCGTCGCCATTTTTAATTGTAACTGTAATTTAGCCATTGTTGTACACTTTTGATGACGCAGACGTTCAGCCAAATGGCAAGAAGTCTGCTTCTGGGCTTAAAAGATATGGGTTAGGTGGAAAATGGGGGAAACTGCAAGGAAAAGCGGGGAGGTCCACGCACTTGAGGTGCACGTGTCGTGGCGTTCGTTATTGTTTTCCCTCGCCTTTTTTTGTTTCTTTTTTTTTCATTCTTATCCAGTTCAAGGGTATTCATATGCAAGGAGGCAAGACCTGTCAAAAATAGCCAAGAAATGTATTAATTTCAGAACGTCGCAGAAATCGCGAGGCATCTGCCACTAAGCAGATAAAAACTTTAAATTATACTGTATGTTTTATTCATTTTAGATATATATTTAAATATTTAGCAGCCTTGTGTAATATTATCATTAGCATTAAGGTTATAGCTCTTATCTAACCCTGACTAATTGAGCGCATCCCTCTTCTCGTTATGCCATTCCAGATTGCCATCTGTGATGATTACAGCCTGCCCGTAGACTTTGTTAAAAAACGACCGTCCAGCTTCGATCCGTGCCTGGCGGAGGCGATACCAGCGAATCCCGAGCACTGGATAGCCCCCAGTCCGCAGACCGAGTTTGTAAGTCCATGCTCGTTAAGTGGGTTCTTTGGGTGGTTGGGTGGTGGGTGAGTGGGCCATTGAGATGGATGGCTGTCTCGCTGGTGGGGCCATGGCAATTAACTGCTCCGGACAGCTAATTGATAAACTGCACGCTCCAGCGAATCGAGTGGTGGCCTGGGATTTTGGACAAGTCGCATCCACGTCAGCCGCATCAGCAGTGCGTTAATGAAAAGCCCACTCCTGCCCCTGGCTTTGGCTTATCCTGCGGCGACAGGCGGACAAACAAAGAGCTGCTCGAACAATGCACGGACTATTGGCTAAATATTGAAAAAAATAGAAGCGCAGAAAACAGGAAAGCCGAGGCAAAGGACGCAATATCAGCGATACAAACAAAGGGGAAGTGGCAGTGGAAGTTTGGGGCCAAAATGACAAACAAACGAAGCTGCCCAGCGGGCGATGGCTGACCATAAAAAATGGACGCAGATAGGATAATGCCAAGTTTGGCTGCCAATTCAGCTGCTTTGTAGCCAGATTTATGGGTGGCCAGTACGACTCTAAAACGCATTAATGCTAACTACTTGAATGGTTAGACCTTAACTGAATTTGCATTATTATCGAACAAATTTTAGCAAAAAGTTGAATAGATGTTTAGGCATTTTGGTATGCATTTTGGCCAATTTATTCATTTTGAATAAGTGGTTCTTGTATAATTTCTAAATGTGCTAATCACGGCTTAATTTATAACGAGGAAAACACATTGAAAAGATTTATTTCAAGCTTCAGTTTATAGGCGCAACTTGTTCAGCAAAGTTATAAAACGCATTTTCCTATAGTTATACTGCTTATATTTTGCCAATCAAATCTTCCCAGCTCTAAAGCACAGGCAGAAAGAGAAAGTAAGCGATAGAAAGCCGCTGAGATACGAGAAGAGATAACCTCGGGCTGCAGCAAATGCGCCGTGCCACAAATCAAATGATGCCCCCAAAAACCAAAAAATCGCCGAGCCCCCAACCAATGGAAGCCGCCCCGGGTGGCAAAAGGAAAAATAAAATAAAAAAAATCCCCTAGGGTGGTGCGTCGCTTTTTTATGGCCCATACGGAAATATTTCGTGTTTTGTTCCCTTTTGCATATGGCCACTAAAAATGAAAAGGAAAGCCGCATGAGGCGCACACATAAAACACACAGAGTATCCGGCTTCCCAGCCACTTGAAATTCGTTTTTATTGAAATTTGTTTAGCCGGAATGGCGGGGATTGCTGCCAAGAAATAAGATTTGCGGCAACGACCTTCAGCTGCAACTTCTGCAGATTGAAGCAAGTTTGAGGGAGTGGAGTGGATAAATCAGTGCCAAGTATTCAATATGCCAGCCTTAAGATGGCAGAAAGTCCTGTAATACAAAAGCAAATATCTGAAAATTAATAACAATCAATTGGTGTACATATTTTTTCAAGGACTAGTGTTCCTTGGGCAAATATTCAATCACTTTCTATTGCTTAAGTTGTATTTATTGCGTGAAAATCAACAAGTTGTTACCATTTGCTGAAAAACATTTAAATATCAAGCCTTTTTAGGCAAGCTGCTCGCAATTAAAGTTTGTATTACTTAAATATGCATTAACAAAGTAAATCAAATACTTGAGATGCCGAATAATAGGCATAATTTATACGAATTTAAAGCTGATTAAGGTTTCCGCACAGAGGAAGTTGTCTGTGCGTATTACAGCTAATTAAACGGCCATAAATGTTTTGAATGCAATCTTCCGCAAATCTTCTCTCTCTCTGCTGTTTCTGCTACATTTTTTCTGTGTACTTAATCCTGGCTGTTCGTCCTCCTGCCAGCAAAATGAATATTCCAGCAGCAAATGGCCCAAAGCGATAACGTTTAGCGCCTTTCGATGCTCTGCTTGCCGTCCTTTTCCCTACTTCTATGCCGCTCTCTTTCCGTCGCCCGTGGCTTTCCATGCGGCATATTAATGCACGTGTATGTGTTTGCGGGCCGTGTGCGTGTGAGCCTGCTCACAATTATTAATGTAATTTTATCTTATGACTTTTGTTTGCCATAAACATTGGAGAGGCACAGAGAAAGATGGCAGATAAACAGAGAAAACAGGCGCTACACTTGCAATAAAATATGTCAAAAAATATATAAAATATATGCATAAAAATAACACATTAAGTAAAAATATATATTCAAAGGCGGTAAGACCAGCTATTTGATCGGAACCATTATATTTATGCTGCTTAAAGGGTTTTCAATTTAGGGACCACTTTTATTGGTAGTGTAGCAGCATCCATGTGATGATGCCATAATAGCTTTCACCAGTCATGTGTGTTGGCCATTGTTTTTTAGTCCTGACTTTTTTCGTCGGCAACTCACGTTTTAATGGAAGCGAACGCGACATTTTCCGATATATCTACGAGTATCTAGGAGTATGTATGTGGAGCGTCTGGCTGTGAAGTGGGATCTGTTAAAAAAAGCGAGTTTGTGGAAATGGAAGGAAATTCGTTTGGCTCTTGCAGTTGTTGCTATTACTCTCCATGGAGTAATATTCAACGATAACTCACATGAACACAAAAGGACGCAGTCAGGACACGTTTGTGTCTATCTCTGTGTGCGTGCTTTTTGTTTATTTCAATAACTTGGCTATGCTTTTTATGTGTGCATGCGCACTTATATATATTATTTTTACTTTCCAACTCCTGCGAACCGCAAACAAATAAACGAACAGACAGCGTCAGCTTAGATATCACTCATACGACGCGTTGTCTGAGCTAAAAGTGGTGACTATCAGATGCCCTTTGAGTGAAGGTTGGGTAATTAGTTACCCTATTTTTATGATCAGCACTATTAGCTAACCGAACTGCCTGCATACTAAGGCTTAACCACTTTTTGCAGTATACTTTTGGCAATGCTTGCTTTATTTCCCAATGCGGATTGCACGTGTGCCTGGTTGCTGGTTAAGGGATGGCCAAGCGTCATCAGCCTCAGTGGCCAAACAATGGGTATGGCAAGGATGCGAGATAGATTTGCAGACAGGACATTAGACCTGGATTTCTTTTTTCATTAAAGTTGGCAGAGAAATCACGTTGCTGCGGCAACCAGCGCAGACAAGTGGAGTCGGAAGCGAAGGTGGGGACATGGAATCCAACAGTTTTCATTATTCCAGATGTGCCCCACTCCTTGCCCGATTTGCGGGGGCAATCGTGCATGAGTATCCGCCCTATATGTTGGGCACAACGCATAAACGTCTGCTTATATCGCTTGTGGATAATCAAAGGCAAATATTTAAGCGGGCACATGTGAGTGGATGGATGACTGTAGAGACCCTCTCCTTGCGGCTGGCTAACGGGGCACAACCCCATTATCAATCTGCCTTGGAAACCCCATGCCCCCTTGGTTCGCCGGGGCATCGTGGAATGAAAGCCGGAAGGCAGGAGCGCCGCCACTCGGTTTCAAGTTCAAATTCATTAAAAATGCTTTCGATTCAGCCAGAGCAGTGTGTGGAGCAGGAGCACTTCTCTCGTTATTTATGTGTTTCAATTAAAAAAGTTCCCGCACCGGCGAATGCATCTCTGCGCTTGTCTCCACGCACAACGACAACCCTGCGCCAGAGTTGTCGCCGCCATGTTGCCAACATCAATATCCCGTTAGCAACATAGCAGCACAGGATGCCCCAGGCGCAGGACAAGTTTCCAAGTGGACATGGGGCCATGTAAACGGAAATTTATGTTTAGCATAATGGCCCGGAACGGAGTTTGGGCAGGGGGCCTCGATATCCACAGATATGCCCACGTGCGAGCCTCATAATTTGCGCACATTAGGAGCCTGTGCTGTTGCAGTTCCGCACCGTCCAGCTATTTGTCCAGCTCAGCGGAAGTGCATCCATGGGCAGGGCAGGAGCAGCAGGAACGTATATTGTGATTGACATGCATTGGGTTGAACACAGTGAGGATGGGGAGCTGGTATGGGCATTAGAACATGGGACATTGCAAGAGAAATTAAATCCATCCATCATGGGAAATACCCAGACAAATGGCGGATGAAGCGAGGGGTATATTGTTTCTTGGGCTGTCATCGTTACGACAGTTTGTGGCTCAAAATTCAATATGCCACATCGTTATATTGGAATTCCATATTTAGACCATAACTTTCGATGTTTTGCCCAAAAAGTCGTGTATTTTATTGGGAAAAACGGCATTTTGTTAAAATTGCATATTTGGCAAGCAATTTCGATTATAACTGGGCTAAAAATGGTCATATAGCTGCCAGGATCCCTATCTCTTTTTGACTGATTTCGGGAAATTAATATTTGGCTACACTTCCGCATTTTTACAAAGGCAACATCATCAAATTGGTAAAAATTAGAATACCCACATTTGAATACAGTTCGATTGGGAATTGATAACTGATATGACATGTATGACACTCCATATGTGGACAATTACTTTTAAAGTTGCATCCGAAAAACGGATTGAGTCTTGACGGAAATTCTGAAAAACGGCTTCCACCAGTTGCCACATCTGCAACGTGTCCGCCACCGAACCCAAATGAAAAGGAGGCCCAAAAGTGGGGAAGCTTGATGCGATTGGCGGTTTGCTGACCGGGGAAACCCCATAAGCGCCGCCAACGAGTTGGCCACGCACATTCCTTTATTCTTTCGATTAAATGCCAAACAAATTGGAAATTGAAATGCAAATCAAATTAGCCTAACAAATGCTAATGCCTCTCCTTTCTTTTCTGTTTGAACCAACAGCTGCCTTTTGGTGAAGCCCAACAAGCGTTGCAGCTGCAATCAGCAACCACAGCAGCAGCAGCAGCAGCAACAGCAGCAGCAACAACATCTGCAGCAGCAGCAGCGGCCAGCGCAACAGCAGCAGCGCCGCAACTACCGCCCCCGCTGCCCGCGCCCGTGGCAACATTGCCCACTCAGGCGGCGACAGCAGCGGCAGCAGCAACAGCTGCGATTTTGGCCACGCACCAGCAGCAGCAGCAGCAGCATTTGAGCAGCAGCAACAACAACAACAACGGCGGCAGCACACACGGCCAGCAGCACACGCACAGCAACAACAACAACACATTGCCAGTAGGAACACAACAGCAGCAGCAGCAGCAGCAGCCGCAGCAACACCGTGCAACATTGCAACATCCGCCGCTGCCCAACAGCAACATCAAGCAGGCATCGGTGAAATTGATCGAGGGATACTCCGATCCGAAGGACACGCGCAACCACAAGAAGGTCTACCACAAAAAGGCCAAGAAACGCGCGACTCCTGGCCACAAGCGGCATCAGCAGCAGCAGCAGCAGCCGCATCAGCAGCAGCAGTCGCAGCAGCAGCAGTTGCAGCAGCAGCAAACGCTGCCAACGCCCAGAAGTGCGCAGCAGCAAGCGCAGCAAAAGTTGCAGCAGCGGCATTCCACCTACAACAACAACAACGGCAACTCAAGAAAGGATAAACGCAACAGTCAATATAATTCAGGTAGGCCAAACCACTGTTTTCACTACCAACTATTAAACAGCTAATTATTAATTGCTAGTTATTACCTAAAAAAAGGGGAAATTAGTGAAATTCAAGCTTGATTTAGTAATCCTTAGTCCTTAACTGAAAAAATGGCACATTGCACATAGAAACGCAAAACTTTTGGAAACTCTTCTCCACCAAAAAAGCGCTTTAAATCAATAATCAAACTGGAATCAGCTGCAGTTCATTAGGCGTTCACGGTCCAGAGATCCTTGCAGTTCCGGCAAGAGGACTCCAGTGCCAGTGGCCAGCAATTAGGAAAACCCAAAGGCGGTTCAACTTTTCCCGCTGCGGCCACTTCGATTATCCAAGCGGAAAATGGAAAGTGGCAGGCTCTGATTAAGAAGGGTGGCAGTAAGATAGGGAGCAGTGCTCCTCGGCTGCAGGGAGACGTGGAGCAGGCAGCGGGCAGCGGGCAGCGGGCAGCCAAGCGCCAAATAGACTGCGTCAACTCCATTTGCGTTCCGATTGCGTGGCCCGCGGCGCCGCAATGTCGTCGCAGCGACTTAATTAGAAACTGTCAGCGCCGTCTCAGTGGCTCGGAAAATAGAATCCGCCTGTGGAATTAACCAGACGCCGTCTGTTTGGTAACCAGATGGTTGGAGTGGCCAAATTGTGGGGTTGCATGCTTATTGAAATGTTTAAACAGCATTCAACACGATTTACTGATCACTTGCAGACTCCTCGGCGCCGAAATCCTCCGACGACGAGGCGGACATCGACGAGGAGGTGGAACAGCAGCCGCTGCCCGTGCCACAGGCAGCTGCCCAGGGTGCGCCGCCAGCAGCGGCCGGTCTCAACTCACCGGACTCCATATCCGATGACCTGGTGCGTCCGCTTCCGCCGCAACTGCAGCGCAGTCCGCGCAAACTGACCGTCGCTCCCGCGGAGCACAGCAAGCGCCAGCCCTCGCCCTACTACTACTCCGATCTGCTCAAGAGTCGCGACAAGGACAAGGACAAGGATAAGGATAGGGACAGGGAGCGGGAACGGGAGCGGGACAAGGACAAGGAGGACTTTAAGCTCAAGTGCCGCCAGTCGACGGCCAGTGAACCGCCGCAGCAAACCCAAACGCAGCTGAGTGGCTACCGGAAGAGCTCCAGCTTGGATGTGCCAGCGGCGGAGGAGCAGCCGGAAGCAGAGAGCCACGAGGAGGAGGAGCCCAGGACGGGCCAGGACGCCCAGGACGCCCAGTCCACGCCCAAGCGATACAGCTTCACCGAGGAGGGTGTGCACATCATCCGCTGCGAGACGCCCAGCACCAGCACATCCGAGGAGTCCGATTGCAGCGAGTGCCTCAAGCGACGCGAGTGGCACGCCCGTGCCTTAGCCCTGGTCCGCAAGACCTGCAACGTCCAGCCAAGGCATCAGAATCCCACTGGCAGCGAGCTCCAGCTGCAGCTGCAGCACTGCGACGCCGGCGAGGGCGAGCTGCTCAAGTGCTGTCCACCGCCACCGCCACCAGCTCCAGCGGAGCTCCAGGTGAGTCGATCTCTTCAAGTGCACTGCCGTCATCAAATCCACTTAATCGTTTCTGCCTCGCTTGCAGGTTCAGGTCCAGCCGATGCCACCGCACCGCCTGCTGGGACCAGCAGCCGTGTGCGGAGCCTGCATCACATCCGCTCCTGCCTCCTCCTTGGCCGGCGGACGGGGCAGCGAGCTCGGCGATGACCTGGAAGAGGAGTACTTCCGGCCGCGCAGCATCTTCTACGTGCATCCGCATGGCGTCCACGAGTGCGTCGAGTGCGCCCAGCCAGCCCAGCCTGCCCAGCCTGTCCAGCCTGCCCAGCCTGCGTCTGTGCAAGCGGCAGCGTTGAGCAATCCATCGCTCGATACTTACGGCGACGACGAGGACGAAGTGGACGGCGACGAGGACGAGGACGAAGAGGACGACTCCGAGGACATCATGGGCAGCCGGCGGCGGCAGATCTACGAGACGGCCTTCGACTGCAAGATAGCCAAGTCGGACGACGATCTGGATGAGGTGGACCGCATTACCAATTGCTCCGTGCTGCTGCAGTTGAGTAATGGCAATGGTGGGGACATCACCAAGGTCAGCGGCTCCTCCAAGACGCGGGCCGAGTGCAAGCGGGCCAAGAACTCCAAGAATCAGGCTCTGCAAGAGCAGACGGGCGAGGCCCATGTGCAGGTGCACCATGTGGAGGCGGAGCTGGGCAAGCTGCAGCTCAGCCAAGTGGACCAGCAGAATCAGAACCAGAACCAGAACCAGAGCCAAAACCAGAGCCAGCAGCATGGAGCTAGCGCCACCGGAAGTGGAGCAAGTGCAGCCAGCACGCAGCAGCTGCCCGTGCGGGGATACACCCCATCGCCGCCATCGACGGCTCCGCTGCCAATGAAATTTCCCGGCAAACACGATCGCTACCTGAACATGAACAGCATCAGGAGTGCGCCCAATCTGCCCGCCGCCAACCCAGCGCATCCCCGCCTGCGGGATCTCCGCCTGCCCATCCAGGCCATGCGGCACCAGTGCGGCGGCAGCAGCAATGACAACAGTCTCACCGACAGCGCCTACGTCAATCCGCCCTCGACCAACTCGAACTCGAATGCGGCATCGGCATCCGCATCGGCCTCCGTCTCGGCAACCGGATCAGCAGCTGCCCGCCGACCGCGATCCTTTGTCCTGGAGTCGGGCCGGGTGCTGGAGCTGCGACGCAGTGCCCAGGGTCACCAGGGCGGCCACCAGTCGAGCCACCATCACCATCATCATCACCATCATGCGCCGGGAAGCAGGAGAAGCCGCCATGGCCATGGCCCGGGGCAAACACACAACTACAGCAGCACGGAGAGCATTGCCACATCCAGCAGTGGCGGCAGCATGGAATCGCTGCGTTCCAGCACCAGCGAGGGCAATCGCAGCACCTCCAGCTCCGAGTCGCGCCACTCCAGTTCGCTGAGCTCTCACAGCTCGGAGAGCGGCAGCGGCGGCAGCGCCGGCAGCGGCGGCAGCGGTGGCTCCAGTGTGGCCTACCCCCTGCGCCCGGCGCCCCTGCTGCTGCACTCGAAGCTGCACATCCTGAGCCCCATTTCCGACAAGTCCTCGCAGGAGCCGGCCTCGGCCAGTGCCTCGGAGCAATCGCAGCAGCCGTCCCAGCAGCTGGCGCCGATGGCGTCGCAGGAAGACGATTCGGCAACAAGTGGCGCCCCAGCAGGCAACCAGGTCCAGGTGAATGCCTCCCTGAAGCAGCCGCGCAGCAATCGTGGTGCTCCGAACAAGGCGCTGCTCCAGCTGGCCGATGAGCTACTGGGCTCGGATAGTGGGATATCGTTGCACTCCCGGGAGGAGGGCAAGCCGCAGGCCTTGGCGCTGCAGCGTCTAACGCTGCCCAAGCTGCAGTTGATCGGTGCCGAAGGAACCACAACGTCAACCGGAGCAGGAGGAGGTAGCTCGGCAACGGGCGGCAGCAGCGGCGCCGGCGGATTGGGTTCCGGATCGGTAGTTGCCAGCGGTTCGGCGGGCATGCCGCAGGATCTGCGCGATCTGCCCTTCGACATGCCCAAACTGAGGCGACGCAAGACACTGCAGCAGGAGGCCGCCTGCACATCGGGCAGTGCCACGTCCGTCGATCTCGGCGAGCTGCCCTTCGACATGCCCAAGCTGCGACGGCGCCTGCGGGCCAACCAGGCGGAGATCAACAACCTGCTGATGCACAGCACCGAGTCCAGCGGCATCTCGCAGGCCTCCTCCAGCCACTCCATGCGCGACGATCAGAAGTTGGCCAGCAAGCTGGGTTAGTTGACCTGCACTTAGTCTTTGCCGTTTTCTTCATAACAAACCGCTGATGTTTTTTATCCCAAATGCAGATACGGCGCTTTTCCGGCAGAATCTCACCCTAAACCTTAATGAATCGCGCCAGGCGACCAAGCAGTTTGGCAGCCTGGATCTGCGCGGTCTCAATAGCAACAAGGAGCTGAACATGAATCTCAGCCAGGGATATGTCACGGCTGTGGATCTGATCGACGTGACCATTCCGCTGGAGCGACAGGGGTAAGTCACTCGACTGAGATGCAAGTTACCTCTATTTAATCAACTATATCTGGCAGTTGGTACCATGGAGCCATAACGCGCATTGAGGCGGAGACCACACTGCGTCCACTGTCCGAGGGATCCTTCCTGGTGCGCAACTGCGAGTCCACGAAGCAGGACTACTCGCTATCCCTCAAGTAAGTAAATGCAGTAAATGAATCTCGAACTACTCGATAATGAACTCGGAATCCTTGCTTTTCAAGGGGCGCCAAGGGCTTCATGCACATGCGCATCCAGCGCAACGAGACTGGGCAGTACATCCTGGGCCAGTTCAGCCGTCCCTTCGAGACGGTGCCGGAGATGATCCGGCACTTTTGCCTCAACCGGCTGCCAGTGCGCGGTGCCGAGCACATGTGTCTGATCGAGCCGGTCATCGCCCAGCTGCTCTAGAGGGGCTCCAGGAACTCAAAGGACACCGGGAGCGGGCCAATCGGAGGCTTCAGGGGCTTCAGTGGCTTCAGGGGGAGGGGAACCAAACAGAATAACATATTAATAGCGTGTAGAGAACGTAGGAACCTATGTGAACGATGTGTATGCACTAGTTATATATGCGAGTTAGTTGTAAAAGGATGATGGCAATTTTTTCATGTTTTTTTTTGGCCTCGAACTTTGTATGTCGGTCTACTAAAGTACACACACCCACACACACACAACTCACACAACTCACTCTAAACACGAGCTAGTTTAGCGTTTAAAGTACGTAGCACATTCAGACAATACCAGCAAATTACAAAAACCAAACAACAAACGATATTTATATAGAAGGCATATATACAAGCGAGGCGATTATACAAGAGCATATAGATACAGATAGCAAGAGCACTTGACGACAGTTGCTAACAACGTAGTGGTACATGATGATCCCAAATGCGGACAGAGATGGTACAGATTTTAGATGTGTTTACACCGAACCGAGCATCAGATTAGGAGCAACTAATATTGTAGCATTGGGCGCCAAAAAAGAAAACCAAAAGAACCCTTCCGTTTGGCTACAGATTTATGGTAGAGCACACACCACTCACTTCTAGCGATTATATGGTCGAAACTTATGCAACTTTTCGCAGCACACACACACACACCCGCCCACTAGCACCAACCAGTATCGTCCGATTATTCCGATAATTCCGATAATTACGCCATTATTTATAAAGCCCTGATTCCTTTGGCGACGGATGCTAGTGGGCGGGCATCGCTTAAGGCACGTTTACACTAAGAAAAGTTTTAGCAAGCAACTCTAAACATTTGTTGATTAATTTTATGTTACCAAAACGAAGAAAACGAACAAAAAAACTAAAATATGTATATCTATATGTATGAGAACTAACTTTAGCAGGAGCGATGTCATTTCTTTTTTTTTTTGTGGTCTTAGCTGTAGGTCAGAGGTACGCGAAATAGAACGCTCAAAGCGCTTTTGGTTAAAGGATCGAAACGAATAGGATTAGATCAGATCAGATCGCATCGGATCAGATGAAAAAGACGGATCGATCGATCGGATCGGATCGATAGAGATGTTTAGACGAGGCAAGGATATAGCAACGCATATGAAATGTCAGTTTAAGTGTTAGTTTCTAATTGAGCGAACGAAGGGCAGACTATATATATATATATATATACCTTAATATTTATATATATATAAATATATAGTGAACGCTAAAAATGATATATACTTACTATTTATATTTCTATATATACATCTATATATATATACACGATATTAAAGAGCAGTCAATGGTTTTTTGGTTCCAGTTCCGAAAGAGAAGCAAGTGTCAGGATGCAGGATGCTAATTAACTAATTAACTAATTAACTAATTATTGTTTCTGGCAGTTTTCTGTTCCACCTTCGTACCGCCGAGCAATACAACTGATTTCCAATATCTCACCCAAAGTTATGTTTATATGTGTGTGCCAAAGTATTATTCTAGTCGTATGTATGTGAATCGAATCTCCGTGTGAATATCAGCGCGTTATATTATTTTCGATATGTTGATTGTTGCCTAATTTCTAATACTCAAGCAATCCGATGCAGTGCAATATACGAATACGTTTATATATCTCGGTTATGTATCTATGATTTGACTAATTTAGCTCTAAGTTACGAATGCCCTGATTTGTCCATAGTTAAGCGAATCGGTTGATAACCATCTCCATTTGGCGAAAGCTGCGCCAGTTTGTAAACGGCTTTTGTAAATATACGGAATATACATAAATACAACACGACAGTTATGTACGATATATACAATTCGGTATGATTTTAGTTGCAATACACAACTTTTAAGCTAAGATTTCAACTTCATATAGAAACAGCAGATCCACACATAAAACGACATAAACGACGTACATAGCAATGTATTTTGAGGCTTCCGTAGCAGTAAAAGAAAAACCAACCAACCAACTACCAAAAATCAACCAAAATTCCAAGATTATCGCAGCACTCGGGCACCGTTTACACCTGCAATCCATGAGATCGTAGTGCAAATTCGCTGAGTGTCGATCGCTTCCGTTTTGTTATGTATAAAGATTGTACTTTTAGAGGTCTGTGGATGATGATGAACAACCGGCTTACTCTAACCGAAACTTGTACTCCAAACTAGAGGCGCTCTCTATCTACGGCACCCTAATATCTGATTAATTCAATTAGTACAGAGCGAATACGTAACAAGAACTTAACAAACAGAAACCGTAACAACAAACACGAAACAACAAACGAAATGTATTGAATAAAATAAATATGATAAATTTCCAAAAATTATTCGTGTCTCATTATTGAAGTGTTCGAAATATCAAGATTTTGCGCATACTTTTGGGCTTGGCGTAGACATTGTCGTAATAGTTTTTGTTTTATTTTATTTTTAAATCGTTTTCTCATATTGGTTTCGTACATATAGTATTTTGTTTATATATTTTCATATATGGTATATATAAAGTTGATTTGTAATAAATTATAAGCAAGTCGACTGCACTCGCACTGGAAACACGAAGTATTATATATATACAATAGAGTTCTCGAACAGTTCACGTACAATTACAAATTGCACATATAAATCGCTTTAAGTACATGCAATTCAATTTCGTTATAATTTCAATTCCCATTGACTGGCATTAAGATTAATTCGTTGATAAGCAGCTTTCGCAGGTGGAGAGGGAGTAGAGGGAGAAGAGCGAGAAGAGGGAGGAGGACTTGCAAGTGGGAGGATCAAGTGTGTTAGTGTGGACACTATATTAAATAATTTGGTCTGCTCTGCACCAGCTCGTTGGTGTGTATGTTTTTGTATTTCATCTTTTTTGTTTCGCCGTCTTGGGCCGGATTCCCGATCCACATTCCTTAGATGATCGCCTCGACCGTTCCCACCTCGGCGTTCTTTTTGATCAGGCTCTCCCACTGGGCGATGAGTCCGCGCGACGAGGGCGCCTCCTCCGGCGTCAGATCGCAGAGCTGGGCCAGCGACATCGCCGGACGCATGCCGTTGCCATTGCCATTGCTGAATCCATTGGCTATATAGGCGGCGGCGTTCAGACTGCGATTACCCGATGGCTTGTGCACGATGTCCAGCTCGTTTCTGTGCGGATTAAACTGTTAAAATCGCTCTCCTTTGGGCGCCGAACGTGGCATACTCACCCATTCCTATCCAGCTCCTGTGTGGACTGGGCATTGCGCAGTTTTCCGGGCCCGTAGCAGTGCTCCACCTCGGAGTCCTCGTCATCATCATCCGCATCGGCCTCATCATCTGTGCTGAGTTGCCTGCAAAAGAAGCACAAATATTCAGTTCATGTCCAGCCTGTGTGAGAAGGTTAGGAGCTCTGGAAGTTTTCGCAGTTTATGTTTGAAAGGAAGCCAAACTGAAAGACTCACAGCTTGTCCAGGGATGCCTTCAGTGTGTTCTGCCTGTTGATCTTGCGCAGACGCTTCAACTCCGATTCGCGTGACTTGAGATCCTGCAGCTCGCGCTTGATCTTCTGCTCAACGGGCACGTATCCTCGTCGCAGGGGTCTGCCTTCCGAGTCTCGTTCGATTGCCGCCGACGACAGGGCCACGGATGAGGAGTTGATGCCTCCCGCTGAGCCTCCAGACTCCAGGAAAGCCATTGCTGTGCGGGTGTTCAGCTTGAGGGTGTTGGTGTTGTTGATGTTGATGTTGCTGTTATTGTTGCTGCTGATGTTATTGAGCTGGCCATTGACATTTATGGCGCCATTGCCATTGGCAGCGCCCAGGGACAGGGTCATTGGAGAGGCAGCCGGCAGCGGGCTGGTGTTGCCCAACTTGCCATGCGAGGCAATGAAGCGCTGCATCACACCCTTGGTGGCGCCGCCGAAGGCAAACTGCCGCTTCTGGGGCAGACCACTCAGCTGTGGCGTCGATATGGTGCGGGTGATCAGTTTCTGCTGCGGCGGCTCAGGGGTCAAATTGTAGCAGTTGGGTCCAATGTAGCGCTGCTCCTGACGCGTCACCACGGTCAGCTTGAGTGGCTGCTGCTTGGCCACATTCGTGGTGATCCCAGTGATGAGGGTGTTGCTCTGCGAGGAGGCCGAAATGCCCGAGTCATCCGAGTGCTGCCCATCGAGACTCTCCTCCTTGGCGCTGTTCACACTGGAGGCCAGCGATGGTGTGTTGGACAGCTCGTCGATGGGCAGCAGGAGCGCGGTGGTCTGCACGGCCGCCGGCTGGGCGGTGACCAGCATGCCCTGTTCCTGATCTGGGCTTTCCACCAAATCGTGCTCGTCATCCTGCTGCAGCTTCGGCTCAAAGTTGCCATTAACCGTGTATGTCTCGAAGTCCGGCGAAGCGGAAGTGATCGCGGCGCTGGACGAGAGCGTGGCCAGCTGGCGGTACTCCTCCTCGCGCCGCACCACCTCCTTGATCTCCTCCTGAATGCGTGTCAGGGGATCGATTTTCTGCGAGCACAGAGAACACAAGAAGTGGGTTAATAACAGGTCGAGAGCATAAGAACTTGTGCACTGAAAGAATGCTGACTAACTCTAAGAAATTCATAAATTCCTTTACACTAATTTCAGTTCTTCATGAACTATCCCTACAACATACATATTTTCGATTGACTGAAGGAACAAGAAACATGGTCTTGTTTTGTGCAGAGTGCAGTTGGTAACTCAAGGCGGTGGAAGTGATCGAATTACGCTACGAAGTTCAAGCTTCTACGTTGAGTGTAATCGAATATGCCGCCAAACCGAGTGCCATTCACTTTCGATCCGCTTCAAATCGAAAGAGTTGCAAGCCGCATTGCGACAACGAAGAGAAGAAAAAAAACAAGATACACCCGCATCCGTGGATTGCATCTTTGAGCGAAATCGGAGGAGACAAATCCGCTGTTTGCATAATCCGATTGGCTTCGATCGTGCTGCCCAAATGATCCGCCTAAAACCACACACGTCGTGTGATTCCATGTGTTACAGAGTGGTTCAGGGTGGCCCATAGTAATGTGGAGTGGTTCAGAGTGGACCCGAGCGTAACCTAAGCCGATTATTGTGCGTGACATCGACAACAAAGTTGGCTGGTTTGGTGATTCCTCAACGGTTCGTTGACTGTTTTGAATCGCTTTTTTCCCTATAAAATATGCGAAACTATAACAAAACATCCCGTGGAGAGTAAAAGTGCTTAGCAGTCTCACTTTCAGCGAGGTTTTGTTATATTCTGTTGGCTAATAAACAAGAGTTCTAAGTTGATAGAACAATTACAGTGGCAAGCTATTATCTCAGAATTAATAACCCACAGTCGCATTAATTTGTTTTTTATTTTTCGCAATGTCGTGTTTTATTACAGTCACCAATTGGGTTAATCATAATTTTTAACAAATATTACAAGTGGGCTTATCAAAAGTTTGATGTTTACTCACTTTTACGAATGAACCATTTGAAAATGTATTAAAGGGGAGAACTTTGCCAAAGATAAGTATTAAAAATAATTCAGCGTAGCTACAGAGGTTAAAAAAATCGTAAAAAAAAAAAAAAAAAAAAAAAAAATTTGTGCTTATTCGATTGCGTTCGATGTTGCGAAATTCAAAATATTCCAACATTGATAATTGTTACAAATTATATGTGAATTTCGCAGTGCTTTTCATTACGCAATAACAATTGCATTGTACACGTATTTCAATTTTAAATAAAAGTACTCTTCGGCGTTTTCTGTCTGCTTTTCTCAGACTTCAAACCCTTTACAAAGAAATAACCTTTCCAAGGCAATCAGGCAATCAGCATCCATTTGATGGCTAAATACTTCCCCTGCAGCCAGACTTGAAGCACTTACAGGGCCTCCACCTCATCCGCCTCGTACTTATATGCATATTACTTTATTTTCCGGGTAAAAGGGGGATCCAACTGGGGTTTACTTTCAGGAAAAAGGGGAGCCGAACTAGGGGTTGTTCGAGGGCAGATAGGCCAGCTTTTTCGGGTCACCGCATTGCCATTTGGGGGCATTTAGGTTGTGTGGGCTCCGTGACACCGCCGCCATGTGGGTGCTGCCAGTGATTGTTGCAGTTGCAGGTGTGCTGCCTTGCTGCTGTTGCGTTGATGTTGCTGCTGCTGCTGCTGTCGGCAGTCGAGTGTCGTCCGTTGGCTTCCGCATCGCTGTCGCATTAGAAAGTGCCAGTCTTTTGCTCGCCATTAGCGAATGCGGCATTTATGCTTCATTTTTTGTAGCTTTTCCTCACTTTATTGTCTTGTTGGTTTGGTCAAGTCGAAAAAATAAAAAACATTGTGTCGCAGTTCGCAGTCGCAATATGAAAAAAATCACTGCCCATAACTCATCGATTCGA